CTATTAGGTTTTCGTAGCGGCAACAATGGAGTATTCCAGGGCGAGTGACATGGGCGAAGGACCCCTTGGTCAAGGAGCCGGCGGATATGCGGGGCAATTCCTTTCTTGGCCTCTAGGGGCATCGGGTATTGGCGTACCCGCACGGGGTCTGTCTCAGGCTTAAGTTCAACAAACAAGGCAGGGCGGTGTTTTGCTAGTCCTAAGCCCCCCGTTTCCGCCCAAGCTTCTGGATATTGCTGGAGCCAGGTTGCTATGTCCTGGTCAGGGGCCGCTCGCTCCTGGTGGAGCCGGTACTCATCTCTAGGGTTATAGTCAGGACGGACACGGGCCGATTGTGGGAGTTGGTCACGACGGGCCCCTCAGGGAGGAAATGGATCTGTGCTCCCATTTTAGTTAGCAGGTCTCTCCCTAATACGGGACAGGGGCTCTCAGGGATGACCAGGAAAGAATGGGTTACATTCCTGGCTCCGAGGTTTACTGTCCTTTGTGTTGTCCATGGGTATTTCTTAACTCCTGTGGCCCCTTGTACCCACGAGGACTTGGAGGATAATTTTCCATTAGTTTTAACTAGGACTGAGTGCTGTGCTCCCGTATCAACCAAGAACTGGACTGGGGACCCCTCCACTTGCAAAGTTACCCTAGGTTCGGGGAGGGGGTCCGAACCCCATCTTCCCTAGTCTTCGTCTTGAGTGACTAGTACGGTTGTAGACCTAGGGGGTCCCTGTCCTCGTTGTTTCTTTTTGGGGCAGTCTCTTACCCAATGGCCAGCTTCCTTACAGTAGGCACATTGGTCTTTGCTCAGATTATCATGCCTGGGAGGCCGCCTAGGTTGGGTGTTCTCTGGCTGTAGATGCTCTTTCTGTACTACTGCTGCCAGGACCTTGCTCATTTTTTCAGTGGCCTTTATTTGCTTTTCCTCTGGAGTATCTCTGTTATTATAAACCCGCTGGGCTATCTGAAGGAGGTCCTGAATCCGCTTTCCCTCTAAGTCTTCTAATTTCTGGAGTTTCCTTTTAATGTCTGGGGCTGCCTGATTTACGAAAGACATTACAACAGCTGCCTGACTTCCTGGAGCCTCTGGGTCTATGGGGGTGTACTGTCTAAAAGCTTCCATTAATCTTTCTAAGTAGGGAGCTGGGCTCTCTGTCTTTCCCTGCAGAACAGAGTATACTTTAGCCAAATTAGTGGGCTTGCGAGCAGCTGCCCGGAGACCCGCCATTAGAGTCTGGCGATAAAGGCGTTGCCGTCCCCTACCTTCTGCCATGTTGTAGTCCCACGCCGGCCTGGTCAGAGGAAAAGTCGCATTTATGAGGTCGAGGTTGGCAGTCGGCTGACCGTCGTCCCCCGGGACCAGCTTTCTAGCTTCTACCTGTATTCTCTCTCGCTCCTCCGTTGTGAACAAGATTCGGAGGAGCTGCTGACAATCATCCCAAGTGGGCTGGTGGGTGAACATGACACTATCCAGTAAAGCCATTAAATCTTTGGGGTTGTCTGAAAACTGAGCACTCTGGGTCTTCCAGTTATACAGATCACTGGTAGAGAATGGCCAGTACTGGAGCCTGGGGATTCCCGTGTCATCTGGGGGTCCTATTTCCTGAAGGGGTAGAGCCACTGTGGAGTCAGGCGGCTGGGGGGCGCTAGCCCGCAAAGTGCGCCCTCGCGTCCGCCCCGCCGGCCCTTCAGAGTTACTATCACTCTTAGCGGGTCCCTGTGTGCCGGCTGCCTCCCGTCCGCGTGCTCCCTCCCGCGGCTCAGCCCGGGGGGCAGGGGCCTGTGGCCCAGAGGGGTACGGAGGGGGTTCTGTGAACAGTGGGTCCCCGCTATCAGGTAAAACAGGATGGGGGGGCAATCGGCTGCTTGGATTTTAGCGGCTGAGCAACCAGTGCCTTACAAGGTTCAGGGGCTAATTGGAAAGGTGACAGCCAAGGAGGCGGGTTCTCAACTAGGTCCTGCCATATGAGGATATATGGGATTTGATCCAAGTGGCCTGCACGCCCAGGTAGGAAAATCTTGGACTTTAGTGATGACAGCAAGTCGGAACGTCCCTTCGGGTGGCCACCCCACATCAAAGGCAGGCCATTCGGAGCGGCATAGGGTAATGAGCTTTCCCCTCCTGATTTCCAAACTAAGATCATGGCCCCTTGCTCTTACATCTTTGAAATTACTTGTAAGGAGAGATAGGGGAGTGCTCTGGGTATTACCCATCCTGTACTAATTTGTAGTCTCTTCCTGTAAAGGAATATGGGTTAGAATCCCTGTAAAGGAAATCTGGCTTATTAATAATATCTAGTCGCAAGTGCGCTCCGGCAGCCCGGGTCAGAATCAGCTGCTCAGATCGCAACTGCACTCCGGCAGCACAGATCGCAAGCGCTCCTGAAGCCCGGGTCCGAGTCAGCTGCTGGGATCGCAACCACACTACGGCAGCACAGATCGCAAGTGAGCTCCGGTAGTCCGGGTCAGAGTCAGCTGCTCGGATCACAACCGCGCTCTGGCAGCACAGATCGCAAGCGAGCTCTGGTAGCACAGATCACAAGCGGCTCCAGTAGCACAGATCGCAAGCGGCTCCGGCAGCACAGATCGCAAGCGCGCTCCGGTAGCCGGGTCAGAGTTAGCTGCTGAGGATGATCGCTCCGGCAGCCCAGATGGCGCGCTCTCAGTAGCCGGGTCGGGTTAGCTGCTCGGATCGCGACCGCTCCAGCAGCCACAAGATCACCAAGTGCGCGTGTCCGGGTCGGAGTTAGCTGCTTTCGGATCGCGATCGCCGCAGCTCCGGCAGCAGATCGCTGGCCCAGCACCCGGTAGCCGGGTCGGAGTTAGCTGCTTTCGGATGTGGTCGCTCCGGCAGCCCAGATCGCAAGCGGCGCGCGGTAGCCGGGTTGAGTTAGCAGCTGCTCGGATCGCGATCTGCACAGCTCAGCAACCAGAATCGCGCACCGGTAGCCCGGAGTCGAGTGCTACTGGATCGCAATTCTCCGGCAGCCCAGGTCCTGGCCTTTACGGTAGCCGGAGTCGGAGTTAGCTGCTCGGATCGCGATCGCGCTCCGGCAGCCCAGACTGCAATTTAGATCGGACGAGAGCCAGGGCGTCAATCTCCTGCCGGTCTCCGCTGGCTGTCCTATAGCGCGTCCGCCAGGACAGCGCCAGCTCCAGTTTCAGACCTCGCGAGTCACAGATTCAGATTCCAGAACAGACACAGACAAGCGGAGATGAGCCGGCTCACCTGGTCGGAGTTAGCTGCTCGGATCGCGATCGCGCTCCGGCAGCCCAGACTGCAATTTAGATCGGACGAGAGCCAGGGGACGTCTCCTGCCGGTCTCCGCTGGCTGTCCTATAGCGCGTCCGCCAGGATGGCGCCAGCTCCAGTTTCAGACCTCGCGAGTCACAGATTCAGATTCAGAACAGACACAGACAAATGGAGATGAGCCGGCTCACCTATCAGTAGATCGATCCTAGTAGATCCGTTGACCAGGGGTCTGGTGGGCTTGGGGAATCCCGGGCGAGCCCCCAGATGTTATACCCAGACCGTTTGTTCCCCAAAGAAGACCACCAGAGTCCAGAGTCAAAGCCAAGCGGCAAGGATCTTTACTACAAGTTCGAACTTGGTCCCTCCATTCCACAGCATACAAGAGGGCCTCAAACAATGCGAGTGCTTGCTTTTTATAGCCCGATGTAAACAGGATACGTAAAGTTACAGGGAACAAGGTAATTCTCTCGGTTACAGCATTACAATTGGTTAACATTATACATTTAGCATTCCTTATTGGAGATCTCCCAGGTGATGTTTTTCTGAAGTTTGAAAGAAATATGGAGGAATGTGTTTGTGCTGGGCTCAGGAAGTTGGGAGATACATGGGGGATGTGCCTCATTCCTTTCACATGCACACGAACACAGTGTAATGAGAGTAACGTAAGGAAAGGCGAGAGAGCTGGAAAGAGCATTTGCTATGGTGTGAATGTTTGTGTCCTTTTATATGATGTCTTTTAAATTTATATGATGAAATACTAACCCCCAAGGTATTGGGAGATAGGGACCTGGGTGGTGACTGGGTCATGGGAGTAGAGCCCTCATGAATGGGATTAGCACTCCTAGAGTAAGATCACTTGCCCTTCTACCATGTGAGAACACAGTGAGAAGGCACTCTCTGTGAACCAGAAAATGGGCCTTCACCAGATAGCAAGTCTGTTGGTTCCTTGATCTTGGACTTCCCAACCTCCAGAACTGTGAGAAATAAATTTCTGTTGTTTACAAGCTACCCAGTTTATGGTGTTTTGTTATAGCAGCCTGAAGAAACTAAAACAATATTTAAATAAATAATGCTCAGAAACTTCTCAAATTTGAGGAAAAACATTAACCACATTTAAGAAGCTCAAGAAACTCCAAGTAGGATAAACTATACCAAGACACATGATAATCAAATTGTCAAAAGGCAAAGAGAGAATGTTGAAAGCATCAAGAGAAGTAACTCATCACATACAAGGATCCTTGATAAGATTAATAGCTGATTTCTCATCAGAGACTCCATAGGCTTCTAGAGGGTAGTGGATTGGCATATTCAGAGTTCTGAAAGGAAAAAAAAAAAGCCATCAACCAGGAATTTTATATTCAGCAAAACTGTCTTTAGAGATGAATGAGAAATACTTTCCCAGATAAACAAAAACTAAGTTATTGCTCGCAGACCTGCTCTATAAGAAATGCTAAAGGGAGGCTTCTCTATCTAATTATTTATTTTTTCCTACACTCTGTTACTGTCTGTGTCTAGCTGCAGTAGTTTTAATACATTTTAGAATGACAGCTGTTTTTCTGGTGGGAAACTTTTAGTTCTTTTATTCTTTGTTAATATGCTAAAAACTAGCCTTTTGCATTTATCTAAAAAGAGACAAACTTGGACATAAGAAAACTTTTTCATGTATATAAATCAGAGGTTCTTTACAGATTTACAAAGGAAATTGTGTGACTACAAGTTAAATTTGAAATGTGTGGTATATGTTAATTTCTTGCAGGAGAAGGAAGCCAACATCCTTTTGGAGCCATGAATATTGTCCGAACTCCATCTGTTGCTCAGATTGGAATTTCAGTGGAATTATTGGACAGTATGGCTCAGCAGACTCCCGTAGGTAATGCTGCTGTATCCTCAGTTGACTCATTCACTCAGGTAATGCAACACGCATTTCATTCTTTACCTCCCCCTTCCACCGCTTTATTAAGGTATAATATACAAGTTAAAATCATATATAACGTATGGTATACAATACATTTTTGATACATGTTTACATTTTGTTTTGTTTTGTTTTGTTTTTGAGAGATGGAGTCTTGCTTTGTTGCCCAGGCTGGAGTGCAGTGGTGCAATCTCGGCTGACTGCCATCTCCGCCTCCTGGGTTCAAGCGATTCTCCCGCCTCCGTCTCCTGAGTAGCGGGGACTACAGGCAAATGCCACCACACCTGGCTAGTTTTGTATTTTTTTTTTTTTAGTAGAGACAGGGTATTGCCATGTTGGCCTGGCTGGTCTTGAACTCCAGACCTCAGGTGATCTGCCTGCCTTGGCCTCCCAAAGTGCTGGGAATACAGGTGTGAGCCACTGCACCTGGCCTGTATTTTGAAATAAAATCAAGCTACTTAACATGTCTGTCACCTCACACAGTCATTTTTTTGTAGAGAACACTTAAGATCTAATCTCTTAGCAAATTAAAAGTATACAACACATTATTAGTAACTGTACTTTCCATGCTGTACAATAATAAACTTTCAGAATTTATTCATCCTGTTGAACTGAAACTTTGTGCCCTTTGACCAACATGTCCTCATTTTCCTTTCCCCTCCACTCTTCAACCCCTGGCAACCACCATTCTACTCTCTGCTTCTGTAAGTTCAACTTTTAGATTCCACATATAAGTGAGATCAATCATGCTATTTGTCTTTCTGTTCCTGACTTACTAGCCTGTTGTCGAGAGGAAAAACTGATGATGTAGGAGAGCAGGGAGAACTACTAAAGCAGTGTCTTTGAGTAGAAAATAGCAGCATATATGGAGGTGTTCACTTTAGACAGTATAACGGATATATGGGTACAGATTCAGATGTGGTAGATGTGGTGATGAGAACTTGTGCAGGCTGTCTCCTGATTTCTTCTTCTTTCTTAGTGAAGTAGAAAGGAAGATCATCAGCTAAGATTGAGGTAGTAGAAATTGAAATAAAAAAAGACTGTTAAATAAGTCCTCTAGCAGAGGAGGAGTGAATGGATTAGGGAAACCATATGTGTTTGCCTGGCAGTACCAGAGGAGCACTTTTGAAGGTTGTGGTCGTGAATTTAAAGGTAGATTTGTCACATCTTTGAAAATGGACTAAATTGAGAATGACAGACTCTGGGTCTCAAAAATGTTTTTTTCCCCATAATTTTACAAATAAATTGCTGTGCTGAAAACAAACTATAAACTAATCACAGTATCCTGTGTAGACAATATTTAAAAAGTGTCTGGAAAATACACATTAAAATGTTATCCCTGGAGAAGGGTAAGAAGACTTTTTTATTGTACATGTTTATCAATTATTTGAGTTTTTTGAATAAAACTATAGTTTTAATTAAATGTATTATGAAGTATTTTAAATACAGAGAAAACAGAGTAACGTATGTATTCCACAAATAGTTATTATGTAACTACTCTGTGCCAGGCATGCCTTTTTTTTTTTTTGAGACAGAGTCTCACTCTGTCACCCACCCAGGCTGGAGTGCAATGGCGCGATCTTGGCTCATTGCAAGCTCCGCCTCCCGGGTTCACGCCATTCTTCTGCCTCAGCCTCCCGAGATAGCTGGGACTACAGGTGCCGGCCACCACGCCTGGCTAATTTTTTTTGTATTTTTTAGTAGAGATGGGGTGTCACTGTGTTAGCCAGGATGGTCTCGATCTCCTGACCTTGTGATCCACCCGCCTTGGCCTCCCAAAGTGCTGGGATTACAGACGTGAGCCACCGCGCCCGGTCTATACCAGGCATTTCTAAGCACGCATAGATACAAATAGGTCCACAAAATAGAGTAATACCTGTCTTTACAGAGCTCTCTTTATAATGGGGTATACATTAAGACTTCCATTGTCTTCCCCCTGGATTTAACTGTTATATTTTTGTCTTATTTGCCACTAATTTTTAAAAAGGAAATTAAGACATTATAGGTATAGCCCCCTGCTGCCTGCTTCTCTTCCTTTTACCTTCTAACATTTTATATCTTTCCTATTCATATTTTAGTACTTAAAACATTCCTGTGTATCCACAAAATATATATAGTACTATCTGTATGTGTTTAAACATGTTTCTAATTTAATTACTTAGTTACTCCAAATTTTTAGGAGTATTGCATGTATTTGGTTTAAATAGTCAAATAGTTTTTGTTTTTTTTTTAAATTTAAGTTCTAGGGTACATGTGGACAACGTGCAGGTTTGTTACATAGGTATACATGTCCCATGTTGGTTTGCTGCACCCGTTAACTCGTCATGTACATTAGGCATTTCTCCTAATGCTATATCCCTCCCCTTGACCCCTACCCCACGACAAGCCCCCCACCGCATGTGTGATGTTCTCCGCCCTGTTTCCAAGTGTTCTCATTGTTCAATTCCCACCTATGAGTGAGAACGTGTGGAGTTTGGTTTTCTGTCCTTTTGATAGTTTGCTCAGAATGATGGTTTCCAGCTTCATTCAAGTCCCTGCAAAGGACATGAACTCATCCTTTTTCATGGCTGCGTAGTATTCCATGGTGTGTATGTGCCACATTGTCTTAATCCAGTCTATCATTGATGGACATTTGGGTTTGTTCCAAGTCTTTGCTATTGTGAATAGGGCCGCATTAAACATACGTGTGCACATGTCTTTATAGTAGCATGATTTATAGTCCTTTGGGTATATACCCAGTAATGGGATTGCTGGGTCAAATGGTATTTCTAGTTCTAGATCCTTGAGGAATCGCCACAGTGTCCTCCACAATGGTTGAACTAGTTTATACGCCCACCAACAGTGTAAAAACATTCCTATTTCTCCACATCCTCTCTAGCACCTGTTGTTTCCTGACTTTTTAATGATCACCATTCTAACTGGTGTGAGATGGTATCTCATTGTGGTTTTGATTTGCATTTCTCTGATGACCAGTGGTGATGAACATTTTTCCCTGCATCTGTTGGCTGCATAAATGTCTTCTTTTGAGAATTGTCTGTTCATATCCTTTTTGATGGGGTTGTTTGATTTTTTTCTTGTAAATTTGTTTAAGTTCTATGTAGATTCTGGATATTAGTCAAATGGTTTTTTTGAGACAGAGTTTCACTCTGTTGCCTAGGCTGTAGTGCAATGGTGCGATCTCGGCTCCTGCAACCTCCGTCTTCCGGGTTCAAGTGATTCTCCTGTCTCAGCCTCCCAAGTAGCTGGGATTACAGGCGTGTGCCACCAGGCCTGGCTAATTTTTGTATTTTTAGTAGAGATGAGGTTTCACCATGTAGGTCAGGCTGGTCTCAACTCCTGACCTCTTGATCCACCCACCTTGGCCTCCCAAAGTGTTGGGATTGCAGGCGTGAGCCACTGCGCCTGGCCTCAAATAGTTTTATGTGTTAAATAGCTGTCCTCTGTTATGACTCTTACATTCTGCTTCTATTCTGCTTCTTAGAAGCTATGATCTTCAACTCCCCTCCCTTTTTTAACCTATTTTTCCTAGTGTCTATTATTTCCATGTATCAGAAAAAACCTTGCTTAATCTATTAGTTTTTCTGTTATAGATGTTTTCTATTTATTTACTAATATAAGACATGATGAAACTCTCACTTCCCCGCTTCCCAACATGTACACATTTCTTTTCTCCCCACCTTATCAGTATACATTTTTGTTAAATCAGTATTAAAAGTTTACAATATTATGAGAAATTAAATATTTTTCAGAACTGAGCTATGTGTAGTACAATGATTAAATTTCTTGTATAACTTTTCATTTTTCCTCATTTTTCATTTTCCTCTTTTTTTTCCTTTGCATAGATTTCTATGTTTCCACTTCTAATTTATGCTCAAACTCTACTAAGTGTAAATTCACATTCAGTTTATTATTTAAACATAGCAGTTTCAGATTGGTCTTGGAAACATTCCACTTGGAATTCTTTTTTTTTTTTTTTTTGAGACAAGGTCTCGCTCTGTCGACTAGGCTGGAATGCAGTGGTGCGATCACAGTTCACTCAATGCAGCCTCAAACTCCTGGGTTCAAGCAATCTTCCCACGAGTAGCTGGGACTACAGGCAAGAATCACCAAACCCACAGTTAATTTTTTGTAGAGATGGGGCCTCATTATGTTGCCCAGGCTGTCCTTTCTTTTTTGTTCTACTGTTGACTGACTATTCTCTGGACCTGTCGAATAGCCTTAGACAAGTTATTATTTCCTTTCACCATTACTACAGAAATTCTTTTTGTTTCTCTTTTGTGTTGAATCCTTTGTTTTCTGGTTCCTCTGTTTTTCCTTCTTGTTGATTTGTTCTTTTGTTTGTTTTAAAAATGAATATAAATAGTAGTATTCTGTACAACTTGCTGTTGTTCACTCAACATTATTTTAAAGATTTATCTATATTGATATATGGAACAGACTTTGTTTTGATTGCTTCGTAGTGTGCCATTGTATAAATGAGCCACAGTTTTTTTCATTTCCTTTTCCGTATGTTCTCACTAACATTTATCAGACCTTTAAAATTTTGCCAAACTGATGAGTGAAAATTAGAATATCATATTTAGTTTGTATTTCTTGATTACTGGTGATATTGAGCATCTTTGCACACTTTTGGACTGTGTTTGTGTTTCCTTTTATAAGAATTGACTTTATATATTTTGTCCAATTTTCTGTTGTATTGCTTTTGGCACTTTTAAAATTTAGTCTTTTGGGAAAAGAACCTAACATGCCTTTATGTGTTCTGAATAATAATCCTTTGTAAATACATTGCATTTTTCTCCTTCTAGCATGGTGCTTGTCTTTTAATATTGCTTATAGTGACTTTTACATACAGATATACTATATTTGTATATAGATAAATGTATTGTTTCTTTTATGATTTGTGGATCTGTGAGTTTTTTAATGTTTGAGAAATCCTTTTCTACCCTGATATGTAAAGATATAAAGATGTTCTCTTCTGTCTCTCCGCCCCCTTTGTGTGTGTGTGTGTGTGTGTGTGTGTGTGTGTGTGTGTGTGTGTGTGGAGATGGGGTCTTGCTATGTTGCCCAGGCTGGTCTTGAACTCCTGGCCTCAAGCAGAGCCTAAGATGTTCTCTTATAGTTCTTAAAGCCTTCAGGTTTACTTTTCGAATATGTGTGCAGTATGGTAAGGGAATTAAATTTATTTTTCCCCTTATGGAAAGCTAGTCCTAGCCCCATTAATTGAGTAATTAGTCCCATTTTTTTTTTTTTTTACCATGAGTAATAGCATCTTTGTCATATATGCTTAGGTTTATTTCTGGGCTCTGTCTTTTATTCCAACTAGTTTATTTGCCTGTCTCTTTGCCAGTAGGGCAAGTTCCTCCTCATAGTCATCAAAATATGTATAGGTATTCTTCATAATAATTGTGTAGGTATTCTTCATAATAATTATATCAGCTTGTTGAGTTTCATGAAATAGTATTAGCTTGTCAAGTTTCATGACGAACCTTGTTGGAATTTTGTTGGTAATAACATTGGATATATAGGTTTAATTTTGGGAGATTTGGCCAGCCACTTTTACCACATTGTCTTCCCATTTGTGACATATTGTATCTTTCCATTGAACATGGTATATCTTTCCATTGAATATGGTATATATAGGTCCTTTTGTTTTGTTTTCTGTCTATCAGTAGTCTTTGTATTTTCCACAAAAATCTTATTAGTTTGTCTTAGCATTTTTTCTAGGTATTGGAGAAAATGCTTTGTTTATATTCTGAATGGAATCTTTTTAAAGTTAACTTAAAAATTATTGTCACTGATGTGGAGGACTGCTGTTGATTTTTTTTTTTTTTCCTAACATTGATCTTTTAGTTGTGACTTGAGTCTGGGTACAGTGGCACATGCCTGTAACTCCAGCTCTTTGGTAGGCTGAGTTGAGAGGATTGCTTGAGCCTAGAATTTTGAGACCAGCCTGGGTAACACAGTGAGACGCTGTCTTTATAAAAAGATAAAAAATTACCCAGGCATGGTAGTGCATGCTTATAGTCTCAGCTACTTGGGAGGCTGAGGCAGAAGGATCACTTGAACCTGGGAGGTCAAGGCTGCAGTGAGCCATGATTGTGCCACTGCATTCCAGCCTGGGTGACAGAGTGGGATCTTCTCTCAAAAACAAACAAACTGATAGTGACTTTACTGAACTTTTGATATTAATCAAGTGCCTTCACAGTAGAGTCTCTTGGATTATACTGCCTTCATATTATTAAACAACCAAATAAAAAAACCTAATAAGACCACTTCTCTTGTGTAGAGAAGAGATAGCATGGCTGATTTCGTATTTTTGAGAAAGTGATGCTGGAAAGATTATTTTTGAGTGAGTAAAAGGCCTTCAGAAGTTCAGTTACTTTTAGGGTTAGTACTTAAGCCCATTTGATTCTCAGGAAATATGAATCCATTTACTTCTAGCTTCTACCAAGGAGACTTGGAGTATGTTAGTGAATTTGATCATTTTAGAGTCAAGGAAAAGAAACAGATTAGGAAACAGAGGAAACGGAATAGTGCTGCCTTCATCTTCTTTCCAGCAATGGAAATAACCAGTTGCTACTTTATAATATGAAAACTCTTATCTTTCTGGCAGGTAAAAGACTTCTTAGAGATGGTTACTATTTTATATGAGAAAATAGGTTGATTTGAGGAGAGTGACAGTTGAGGAGGGACATAGTGGATGCAGACGTGGAGATGAAAGAAAATATTTTGAAGAAAAAAATTTTTTTTCCCCAAAGTGAGTAGCATTGTCACAATGTCATTGTATGTATGATTACTCTTAACATTCTTTTTTATTCATTTATTTAATTTTATTTTTTTGAGACAGGGCCTTGCTATGTTGCACAGGCTGGTCTTGAATGCCTGGCCTCAAGTGATTCTCCTGCCTCAGCCTCCCAAAGTTTTGGGATTACAGGCATGAGCCACTGCACCCAGCCAACTTTCAGCATTAGACTGTCTTAGAACTGACACTCCTTATAAACAAGTTAATGTGAGAACATTTTTAATTTAAAAATATTGAGTTCTAAATGAAGTATTTAGTACAATCCATTAATCTATTATTAACTTTTCAGTTCACACAAAAGATGTTGGACAATTTCTACAATTTTGCTTCATCATTTGCTGTCTCTCAGGCCCAGATGACACCAAGCCCATCTGAAATGTTCATTCCAGCAAATGTGGTTCTGAAATGGTATGAGGCATTTTCTGTCTCTAATATTAAGGCTTTTTGTAACTGAATATCTATTTTGCCTGTGAATATATTCCTTTTTTGACATTTAAACATATTCTTTTATTGTGAACATCAGCACTGCATGCCATTGAAGTATATACTATAGAGATCTGATGAGAAACAGTTCTTACCCTAAATATTTTGTTATGAATTTATAAAGACAGGAAAATATAACTGCCTTTGTTTTAGGGACCACTATTAAAGCTTATAAATATTTGCATATTTTCACTTAGAAGTACCATCTATGAGACTTGAAATATCAATCAAAACATTTTTTCTGCTGTTTTGAAGATCTTGATCTGTAGTAAACATGTACCTTTAGGGTACAAGAGTAGTTTATACTGCACCCTGAACATGAATGGCTAATGAATCTATTTTCCAACTTTCCTGTGTTTTATAGATATTTCTTTTCACTTTGAGTATCCTAGTGATGGGAGGATGCCTAGGAAGAGTTTGTTGAGAAGTGGTACCATGGTGTAGCATGGACAGCATTGGAATGCACTAGGTTTGAATTTTGGCATAATGTAGCTATGTGACCCTGAGCAAATTTCTCTCATCTGCTCATCTATGGAATGAGGAAATAGGAGTTCAATTTGATTTTTTCCCTTAGGTCCCTTCTAGCTCTTAAATTTGCAGAAGATAAACAATTACTAAAATTTCTTATGATTTGTGCTCTCTGGTAAAAGCTAATCAAAACTGCTCTGATATTTAAATTCTTATGCTTGCCATCTTTTTATAAGAATAATTACATTTCCAGATTACCTATTTAGTTTTTTTATAGCTTTTTAGAAATGACATGTAAAATTGTTTTGGATAAGTCATTTGGCAGTTAATGAAAGATCCTATTTTAATTTTCTTGTGAATGTAAATATATGTGTTTTCTTTTTTAGGTATGAAAACTTTCAAAGACGACTAGCACAGAACCCTCTCTTTTGGAAAACATAATTTGAATAAAATAATTTTTAATGGATTCTGAAATTTGTCATGTTTTGAAGATAACTGACTCTATCTGAAAGTATGAAGTCAAAGGATCATGAAACCTAAGTGTAAAAACTGCTTAGTGACTGAAGCTTAATTAAAAATCTTTATTAAAAATTAAAAACATTGAAAAATGAAAATATGTTCATCATTAAAGACTTTTTTCCCCTTAAGCTTAAAATACTATTCAGGGGCAAAACATTTTGTTTTGGCTATGATTCATTTTTTTACTTAAAAATAAAGCCTATGCCCAACAGTAGTGTGCCAAGTACCATTGCATGTGTAATCATTCATTTATTGAAATGAAACAGTGGTTTGCCAGAGTAGTTAACTTTTCAATTACCTATCTCAAAATTTGGGAGACTTGAAAAACATATGAAATATACATTTTTAAATATGGAAAAATTGTTATCAGAGATTATTTCCTAAGATTGTCAGTTTTTCCAATTAATGCAGGTTGGCTGTCACTTTTTATATCTGCAGATTCATATGTGTTTAATAAAATTGCCATATTGGTGAGCTTTCATTTAATACTGGTAGGCATTTATGTGTAGAACATAGGATTCTTCTTGTTAATGGACGGTTAGTAGTTCATTTTTTGTTGATTACAACAATACCCAAAACTGGGTAATTTATTGACTTAATTTTTTTTTTTTTTAGATGAGGTTTTGCTCTCTTGTCCCAACTGGAGCGCAGTGGCGTGATCACAGCTTATTCCAGCCATGACCTCCTGGGCTCAAGTGCTCATCCTGCTTCAGCTTTCCATGTAGCTGGGACTGCAGACGTGCACCCCCACATCCAGCTAATTTTTTTGATGTTTTTGTTTTGTCTTACTGTGTTGCCCAGACTAGGCTCGAACTCCTGGGCTCAAGCAATCCTCCCACTTCAGCCTCCGAAAGTGCTGGGTTGGTAATTGATAAAGAAAAGGATTTTTTTTTTTTTCCTACAATGATGGAGACTGAGAATTCCAAGGCCAAGGAGCTGCAGCTGGTGAGAGCCTTCTTACTGGTGGGGAAGAAACTCTGAAGAGTCATTAGGCAGTGCTACGTATCACACCGTGAGGGGGCTGAGCATGCTTTTGTGCCAGCTCAGGTCACTCTTCCCCTTCTTATAAAGCCACCAGTTCCCCTCCTGTGATGATAACTTATTAACCTTTGGGCAGAGCCCTCATGATCCAATCACCTCTTAAAGGCCCCACCTCTCAGTACTGCCACATTGGGGTTAAAATTTCAACGTAAGTTTTGGAAGCAACAGATACTCAAACCATAGCAATTTGTTCAATCATGAGACTTGGCAATGGCTACACAAGTGTTTAATACTCTGCACAGAAAACATCAGCTAATTGCAATATAATTTCCAGAAGCAAAATGATTGTTCATGTACCACAACTTGTATCTAGGACCTAGATTGCCAAACCCAAGCTGAAAAAACGTCCTGAAGTTCAACTGTGCCTCTTCTACAGAGTCAGGTAGCCTCTTCCCAGTGATTTTTGTAGTGATACAACAGGAAGTACTAAGTAAACACAAACTATTCCTTGGTTTGCTAAGAAATCAAAAGAATATATGATGATTCATGGTAATCTTGCGTAGTGCATTTGAACTAGTTTCTTGGGCTTCCAGAGCAGATGATGGGAGTGAAATTTTGGGCCACATTTTCTAGTAGTATGACTTTTAGAACAGTATCTTGCACAGTATGCATAAGGAGTCATCACTTCTGGGAGCTTTCCTGAGTAGCCTATACCTGCCTCATTTTGGAAGTTTCTGGTTATTCTCGGAGACACGTGATATGCTGGAAAGAAAAGAGCTTTAAATATCTGAACATCTAACAATTACTCTATATATATAAGGTAGGTTTGTGTACAGGAGGCAGGTAGAAACCTGGTGTTGACATAAGTAATGACTAACGGGTTACAGAAGATACTAGGAATATAAATATTTATCACAACAGGGGTGAGCCAAGAATTATTTCCTTGAAGTGGACATATTCTCAGAGGAGTTAAATGGTTCCCACAGAGAAGTCTGGAAAATCTGGAGAAAACTGACTAGTGCCGTGAGGATAGCTCCAGCATTTGTCCCCTGCCTTGGTGAGCTTGATTCTGTCTGCTGACAGTGCTGTAATGATTGTAGCAGAAGTATGTTTGTTTAATTAAGATGAAGATCCAGTTTTTACAAGAATGAAGACTGAGGTTAAGGATAAGAAGAAAATTGAAATATCGAAAGGGACCTGTAGGAATTAATTGGCCTCCTCAAGAATTTAAAGTAAAAACATTATATATTAATTATGGTGGAATTTGAAAGATTCAGGGAGTAGCTATGGTTTGAGAAAACTGCTCAAAAGTCTTGCATTTCTTAAGGTGGCCAAAAAAACACCATAAAGAATTAAGTATAAAATGATAAATGTGAGAGAATATTGAGAAACTGTTAGGCAATCTCTAGGGAGTACCAAATTGTATAAGCAGAAGAGGGATAAGCAAAGGTATCAGAAAATTAATCTTCCTTGTTGCCTTGTAGTCTTCCTTGTTGCCATGCTGTCTCCTTTGTATTGTCATTTATTTGATTTGAGGGACTTGATTAGTAGTTTTCCACCAAAGATGTTGGCTTCTGGAGGATTCCTAAGAATCACTGGTTTAAGGTCTCCTGATGGAGTGGTTGTCTAGCTGTCTGAGAAGGTACTTGTCATTTAGTTGGGAAACATAAACCCAGTGATCATCATCTTGGAGTTTACTGCCATGCTAGTTGTTATAGTATCTGCTAAGCTAATTTTTCACTGAGGCCAGTTTTTCCCTGATGTCTCTTCCAGAATACTAAGTTTGCTGATAGTTGAGGATGTTGCAGAAAATGATGTTTTTCTAGATTGGAGAAGAGTGGAATCCACTATTGAGGAACAATACAATTTATAAAAAATGATTATGAGAGTACAACATATTATGGACAGCATACAGTGACAATTCTCTTGGTCTGTAATCTCAGAAAGTGTATCTTTTTGTAGACAGTTATTGTGTTAGTGTTTACAGGAGCATGAGTGTGTTTCATTTTACCTGAAATGAAACACTGAAACATTTTTATCAACAAATTTTACCTGTGCATAATTAACGTGAGAAAGCTAATCTCTTGATTTGTTAAGTTTTCTTTTTTTCTTTTAAGTTTGATTTTTTTATTTTTTAAAAAAACCTCTTAAAATGGTTTGGGATTAATTACAATTTGTAGAGTGCCAAACAAACCTAATTTTTCCTATTGTCTTTTCTTCCACAATGTGAAGGAAACCTGAAGAGTTCAGGCATAAAAGACATCTTCATAAGTCTTACTATGCCTGAATTTGGGAAAGGCGAAAATTACAAAGAGTTGTCAGAGGAGACAAGATACAAATATTAGTCAAAAATATATAAAGGCGGCTGGGCACAGTGGCTCACACCTGTAATCCCAGGATTTTTGGAGGCCGAGGTGGGCAGATAACTTGAGGCCGGGAGTTCAAGACCAGCCCAGCCAACATGGCAAAATGCCATCTTTACAAAAAATATAAAAATTAGCCGGGCATGGTGGCACATGCTTGTACTCCCAGCTACTCAGGAGGCTGAGGCAGGAGAATCAGAATTGCTTGAATCTGGGGGGCGAAGATTGTAGTAAGCCAAGATCACGCCACTGCACTCTGGCCTCGGCAACGGAGTGAGGCTCTGTCTCAAAAAAAAAAAAAAAAAAAAAAAAAAAAATATATATATATATATATATAGAGAGAGAGAGAGAGAGATCTCAAAGGCAAGAAATGGTCTCAGTTGATATCTATATTCAGCATACTAGTGAAAATAGTACTATTTATCATCTGTGTCCAGTGGATCCATTTTTAAAAATGCTTTTAAGCTACTTTTTGAATAATTTACTGAAGAATAAAGAGATATAAAATAACCTTATTAGTAATTTTAAATAATGAGAAGCATAGATCATGTTATTTTCATAGTTTTGATAATATATGGTCCTGAGATGAGCAATATCTTAATGTAACTACTCATCAGCTGTCATACATGAACCTGGAACATATTAATCTTGTACATGCTCGTTCTAGGTTTCAAATACATCTCTAATATCTTCTATCTTATCATGACTTTCTAGTCCTTCTTATGCTTGCAGCATCAACATGCAATACTTGAAGAATTAGTTGAAAATTGACAACTCATAATTTTGTATAATGGAGGACAGCTGTCTTCTTAGCTCCATAGTTGTAAAACCTTTTTATTTTAGATTTATAGCCAGCAATGAAATGTTCAAAGATTTTTAATTTCTGTATATTCTGTATTTTTTCATCACTTTTATATACACACCTATTTTCAGAATTTGTCTGGTTTTTTGATGGGCGTGGTGGCTCATGCCTGTAATCCCGGCACTTCCGGGAGGCCAAGGCAGCTGGCTCACTTCAGATCAGGAGTTCGAGACCAGCCTGGCCAACATGTTGCAACCCCATCTCTACTAAAAATGCAAAAAAATTAGCTGGGCATGGTGGCACATGCCTGTAATTCCAGCTACTTGGGAAGCTGAGGTAGGAGAATTGCTTGACCCCAGGAGGCAGAGGCTGCAGTGAGCCAAGATCATGCTATGGCACTCCAGCCTCGGTGACAGAATGAGACTCTGTCTCAAAAAAAAAAAAAAAAAAAAAAAAAAGAAATTAAATAATTTAATTTTTAAAAGAGTTATTGACATATAATTCACATTCCATACAGTTAACCCATTTAAAGAGCCAGGTGCAGTGGTGCACAGCTGTAATCTCAGCTACTCTGGAGCCTGAAGTGAGAGGATTGCTCGAGCCCAGGAATTCAAGACCAGCCTGGGCAACATAGCGGGGACCTTGTCTCAATTGAATGAATGAATGCTTTTTAGTTTAGTCTCAGGGTTGTGCAAATGTCATCACAATCTAATTTTTGTTCCTCCAAAAGGAGCCTCTTACCCATTAGTAGTTAATCCCTATCTCCCAACTTCTAATATCCCTAAGCCACCACTAATCTACTTTTTGTC